AAAAGTAAAGAAACTGGCTCTTGCTCCCCCTGCATCATCAAGCCTGTCCTTCTTGTCATGGCAGAGGATCTGGAAGTTTTGTCAATTTATCATGAGTGAGACTTCGGTTCATAACAACTGGCTTTGTTTCCTTTTCCTCCTGTTACAGTTTTATTATGAATGAAGCACCCCAGAGAAAGCCTTTGGGATTACTGTAACAGGTACCAAATACATGGCCAGGAAGAGACTGAAAAGCTCCTAATCGGGGATGGCAGTAGGATGTGCTGACATGGATATATACCCCACCAGAGCATGGGAGTAGATAATCATGAAGTGACTGGTGGGAATATCACACTCGGGTGTCCAGTTTGATTTCATGAGGCCTAGCTGGACTTTGCAGGAGCTCTCTGTCTGCTCTATCTCAACCCAGTTTCCCTGCAGATTCCATCTTCAAGGCTATCTCATTGTCCCCCTGTGTGATGTTATTATTTGCTACGTGTGCAGAAGTGTGTAAATGCAGGTGAAGTGCGTAAACACAGAAAAATGAATACCCATTAATGATGTTGTTTAGGGAAACGCTGACACTTTCCAGGCATCTCATAGTACAAATGGGCAGACAGAGGTGCACATACAGAAACATGCAGCTGGCTTAAAATTGCTTTCCAAATCCTCTTGGAGACACATGGTACCCTGGCTGGAGCATTTTGTCCCTCCTACAGCACGGCTTGACTGCACACTTGGTCCCAATGAAATTAGGAAAGTGGTACTCTCGTAAGCGCTGTAGCATTGGTACACAGGAAGAAGCTGGAATCAACCGAAGTTATAATCAACTTCTAAGTGCATGTGACACAAGGATTTGGGGTATTTATTTAGACTTAGGCCTGTTTATATATCAGAATATGGTTTTGTTTAACTTTTAAAGAGGATCTTTTTAGCATGATCTCTGTTTTACAGAGCTGTTTCTAGTGAGTAGCATATTCCTGCCAAAAATCTCAAGCCTCTTGGATGTATTTCTAATTCCTCTCTGAATTACGTTCCTGTTCTGAAACTGTGTCAGCAGATTGTGGATACGGTCCTGCTGAGATCATTAATTCACCTTAGGCTGTTGGTGGTAGCAAGCTATGATGAGGAATTTCTATTCCTGTCCTAGAAAAGGAACCTACATAAGCATTTATTTTTGGCATTTGGACACTCTGGAGGGCTGGAGTTTTGATGTAAAATAAACATGGCAGCCAAATTCACATCCCGTTAGTCCCTCAGCTGTAAATTAAGCTCTGCCTTCCCTGTTGCAAAGCAGTATTGGAGATTCGTTTGCTGAAATGCAGCAAGAAGCTCAGGGTCTGTTGGATCGTTAACTCCATGACAGAAATGTTGGGATACGCCGGCCTGGAGTTTGTTTCCATCCTGTGTGAAAGCAGCAACCCAAATGGTTATCCTCAAATGAAGGATTGAGAACAGGCTGTCTTAACCAGAACCTTAGGCTATTTATTGGTCTTGTGTTAGATGTTAATCTGGGAGGGGAACTCAGCAAGTGTTACCAGTTCACTAGTCAAGGGCCACTATCCACACTGATTTTCGTATTTTGGCCTGATTTTTCGCCTAAAATCATCAGTTGGGCTGTAATATAGCAGTTTCCTTTTGAATAGTTGGAGAAGTATTTCTGTATATGCATTTTTTTTTCAACAAATGAAATGAATTTTACTGTTTTCTAGGTGAAGATGCATCTCTGCCTATAACAAGCGGAGGAAGCTATCAAGTGCTGGTGAACAATGTGTTTTATTTTACGCAGCGCGTGGTAGATAAGCTTTGGCAAGGCATGTTCAACAAAGAATCCAAACTTCTTGTGGAATTCATAATCCAGCTCATTGCACAGGTAACGATGTTCTCCTATTAACCCGATCACAAAAAATTGACAGTAAAATCCACTGAATAATGTCACTAAAGAAGCTGCATAGTATTTGGGTGAGGCATTGCAATTACCTTTTGCACAATAATTGTACACACTGGGAGTCAGCTATACATTTTAACTTTAGGTCTGCATAGAATAACACTGTTCCACCCCACGCTGTTCCTCTTGCTTTTTTTAATGAACTTTCCTAGCATGTCTTTTTTTTGCACAGTGTATATTTAATATGGAACAGATGAGTTAAAACTGCTTTCAGATTAAATTAGTTTTTAGAAAACCCCAGAAATAAACAACCAAATTTGCCCCACATTACTTTTTGGGATGCATACTCATCCTCTTTTGTTGGAGGCTGTTAAAGACTTTTGCTATTAGAAATAAAGGCAATGTTAATAGACTAACCTGCATAGAAGCTGCAATTTTAAGTATATGCTATCACATATTAATGACATTTCTGCCCTCAAAAGTGGTAGAATTTTCACCGTTTGGGTAAAATAAAAATTGAGAAAAATCAGCCTGGGTCAGTTCTTAGGGAGAATATCTGCCATTAAAATGATTTTCTGCTTTTATCTGATTGTGTTTTGTGCTTTCCATCAGTCAAAGAGAAGATCTCAGGGATTATCACTGGATGCCATTTATCACTGCCTCAACAGGACCATCTTGTATCAGTTCTCAAGGGCCCATAAAACTGTTCCTCAGCAAGTTGCTCTCCTTGATTCCCTAAGGGTCCTTACTATGAACAGAAACTTAATTCTGGGGCCTGGGAATCATGATCAAGAGTTCATCAGCTGCCTAGCTCACTGCTTGATTAACCTGCATGGAGGAAGGTAAATATTTTAGAAGTTCATTCCAGAAAAAGTAAGTTATCAAAATGACCTGTTGCCTTTCAACTCTCACTCTTGCCTTACAAATGGGTCACCGAATTCTGAGTAACTGCATGTAATTTTCAATTCAGTAAACTAAAAGTAAGCTCAAGTGGTTCATTTTGAAACAAATACAGGTTTGAGGATTGTGACTCTAGAGAACAGAGTCTTTTTTACAGAGGTGTTAAAATACTGGCATATGAGTGCTTATTAATCAGTTCTATTATTAAGCTTTAACAATGTAAAACACTCTCAAAGTAGAAAGCAACATCAGTGCTAAGTCAATAATAATCAAAGGGGCCTGTCACAAGGCAAAAAGCTTGGATTCATTGTCTGTTGAATAATTTGCTATCTATTTACAATATTAGGATTTTGAGTTTCTTCCAATATTAACTGTCCACCTTCAGCAAGAGCAACGTCCATGGCATGTCCTTTTTCGTATGCCTTCAGTTCAGTTTGTGTCTGTACATCTCCAGAACTCAAGCTGACAGAAATGAAGATATGTGGCTGTAGCAGCATGCATTAATATTCATGACATTGTCACAGAAGATGAAATGATTTAGTTCATGTTTGTTTCTGGTTGTTGTTAAAGCATTGTGTGTTTCTAGCAACGTAGATGGCTTTGGATTGGAAGCAGAAGCCAGGATGACAACGTGGCACATAATGATCCCCTCTGATATAGAACCAGATGGAGTTTACAATCAAGACGTCAGCGAAGGTAATGTCATCTAAGAGTGGCAAAGCCACAGATATCTGTCAATGCCACTTATTTATTGTCACCACTGCTTTTTCACCCCAGTTATTCTTTCAGCTGGGATAGAGCAGTATAGAAGAAAATACACTTCTTGGAAATACCAAAAAAGAAATATCCAGGATGAATTAGTATACTTTAAATATAGCAAGAGCTCTTTATTCTTTCCGGGACACAACCAGAATTATTTACACGTGCAGAGTTGAATGCAATATGTATATATATGAGTCAAGTGTACCATGCTTCTGTATCAGCTCAGTCTTGCATGAGTACAGGTAAAAGATAATTTCCTTAAAATGTAAAATTATTGTTAAGTGAAAACATCAGGATCTTTCACTCAGGAAAAATTATCAGTCTGATTGTGGAAGAAACTTATTTCTCACCTCTTTACGTATATGTTTAATGTTTGTGCATATACGTGTTTATGCACACACATATATATATGAAAATATCCATGTATAATTTATGCAGAGTGTGGTATGGGTGGGTATAGATGTATACGCCATAAACTTTTTTAGACTTTCCCTTTGTTTATATAGGATTGTAGAAGAAAAAACATAGCTAGTCAGAGCTAGTGCTTCAGATTCATAAAGAAAATTTACCAAAATTAGCCGTTACATGCTTTCTAATGGCGCATAAATAGCGAAAAGAGTCGGCAAAGGCACTTCAGAAGTCACACAAAAATAAGTGTGGAGAATGTAATTGTGTAAATTATACTGTAAAAATGCAAATTCTATAAGCACCATAGAGAACTTCCTGTTTTTGATCTTGTTGCCTTTGCAGGTCGCCAGCTTCTTTTAAAAGCCATAAACAGAGTGTGGACAGAGCTGATCCATAGTAAAAAACAGGTTTTAGAAGAGGTTTTCAAAGTGACTCTACCTGTCAATGATCGTGGCCAAGTGGATATAACTGTTGCCAGACCTTTTATTGAAGAAGCAGGTTTAAAGTGTTGGCAAAATCATCTGGGTAGGTATAACTGAGGGTTTATCTACCAGAGGGGAGGTTTCCCTGAATTGAAACCCATGCACTGGATGTTTTAGTAAGAGCTTCACTTCTTTTGTTGTTCCTGCTGTATTTATGCTTTTAAACTGTTACCACACATCACCTCTAATTCAAAAACAAAGCCACATAGTTTATAAATATATATCAGATTTAGCATATATGTATGTAATATAAAATGTAATTTTATAATATATATATTTATATATAAACTGATAAACAGTATGATCCACGATTAGTTTACGCTATAGAGAAATTTGAACTATTTTTTTACTTGCACAACAATGTGTAGCGGGCCAAATCAAACTCAAAATAGAGCATTTTTTTCCACTATACTCGTAGTGGGATTCTGTTGCAGCAGAACTGCCTTTTGGGGAAAGGAGGGAAAGAATCAGCTGAATCTCTTTTCCTAGTGCACATTATTTATAATGCAAATGAAATAAGTTCTTTTATCTGTCTTTTGAGGGGGAAAAAATATAATTTTTTTTCAGGCACTGTCTGCCATCTTTGAAATACTTACTTTTTCTTTAAGAGATATGATCCAGCAAAATTAAACATTGTTACACTTCCAGCTGA